TAAAGTAAAGTAAAGTAAAGTAAAGTAAAGTAAAGTAAAGTAAAGTACTGGAAAAGTTCTACTCACTAGCAACAGTTCCTCTTCCTCACAGTAGGACTCTCCGTTCCCGCCTTCTCCTGGAACTGGTGGTACGTGGTGATCGCCGTGGCCACTGCCGTGGCCGCCGCCATCTTCATCGTCATCTTCTTGGCACGTATGAGGAAAAAGGAAACACGCTATGGGTAAGGCGAAAATGGCCCTCCAGAAAGGCCACCCATTGTTTAAGTCTTGTCATTGATCGTTTGGGGGGGGGGGTTTCTCATGAGGGGGACCCATCAGGACCCCATTTTATGTTTTCTTTCTGCTCAGGGAAGCCTTTGAGCCCAACATGGAGCAGGGAGAGCTGGTGGTTCACTATCGCGCCCGCAAATCGTACAGCCGCCGGACTACGGAAACTACTTGTGAGTTCCTCTTCCCCACAAATCCAGTGTGTGTCAGGGCGTGAGTTTACACTGAGATCCAGCAAGCCGCGTTCATTGTGGGGCCCTTGGTGCTCTCTGAGTTTGGGGTTGTTGTTGTTTTTTTCTTGCAGACGTTTCGTTACCAAACTAGGTAACCTCATCAGTGCGTGTGAAGCGTTCACATTTCCCCACAAATCTAGCAGTTGCTGCCCATCAAGGCAACAGTTTGGGCAAAACTGAGGCAGGCCCTGATGTAGGTGGCCTCTTTAAGTCTTATGGGCAGGGCTGGGCTGCTGGGGGGAGTTCACAGGGGTTCAAGAGAGCCCCTAGCTAAGATTCTACACAGTTTGGAGAACCCACCAAATCCCACTCCTGGCTGGTCCCACCTACCCTGCCCTACCTCTCCCAGGAGTCCCCACGCAGCCCGTTTTGGATGCAGGTATGTGCAGGGTATGCGTGGAGGCTCAGGGAGGGTGAAAAACGGGCCGCCCAGAAGTTCAGGAAGGCCGGAAATGGGCCTGTTTCTGGCTTCCGGAGAGCCTCCGGAGCCCAGCGAGGCCATTTTCGCCCTCATGGAGGTTCGAGGGAAGCCTCAGGAGCCCGGGGAGGGAGAAAACGCCCCCCCCCCCGCCACCATGATTCAGGAGGCCGACTAGGCCATGCCCACCATGGTCCACCCAGTAACCGGGCAAAGAACCCCTTGCTAAAAAAAATTAAGCCCACCCCTACTTATGGGCCATAATCGTTCTGTATATATAACCATCAAAAATCCATAAATGGCTAGGTAGATAATTCAAAGTTCAAAGAAGGTGGTGCTCATGGTGGAATCAGAATCAGCTCAGGAGCATCTTCTGCCCACTTGTCCTTCAGAAGGAGAAAGATCAACCCAACTTAGATAAGGTCTCCACTCATAGCCCAATCAGGAAACTCTGATATAATTCAACCAAGATCTGGAGATGGTGGAAAGCAACAGCAGAAGACTTGCCTTCGGCAGTACTACCTGAAATTTTGGCAGCCTCACTTCCAGCCGCTCTCCAAGACTGGGAAAGTTGAACTATGTTGGCCTCTTGTTTGGCAGATGTCTGTTTTAGATCTCATGATGGCCTGGTCCTCCATCTGCAGAAGAACAAGCCACCAGCAACCCCAATGCTTCTTCCGTGGCATTTAGAAATCGTTCCCCCTTTCCCACCAAGTTTAGACTTTAGACCAAGGGTGTCCAACCTTGGCCACTTTAAGACTTTGTGGACTCCAACTCCCAGAATTCCTCAGTCAGCATAAGAAATAAAAAATGTATCAGCCTAGGAATTCTGGGAGTTGGAAGTCCACAAAGTTGTCCCCAAGTTGGACACCCTTGCAATTTAGACCCTTCTGGGTAGATGATTTGGGTCAGGTCTTTTTTGCAAAATGAATCTCCTTTTCTTCTTGCAGTGAACAGCCTGGGCATCAGTGAAGAATTGAAGGAAAAGCTTCAGGATGTAATGATTGACCGCCATAGAGTAGCCCTGGGAAAGACCCTTGGCGAAGGTAAGTCCTTGGGACCAGTGTCAACTAGGTGCTTAATGGGCCATATTTTTGTCCCAAAGAAAATTGGTTCAAGGCTAGGGCAGGGCTGTGCCATATAGAAAGGGGCAGGAGCAGATTGAAAAATGAAATTCGATTTCATTCTAATTAAGTGTGATTAGACAGTAAAGGGATAGGGTCAACGATGCAGCAAGTAGCAGCTCCAGCTAACAAACTTAGCTGGACCTTACTCGAGGACATTGTGGTGTGAGGCAAAAATGGTGCTTTCCATTTGAAGCCACCATCTTAACTGTTTTAGCCTCTCCTTATGGATGACCTTACCTCAATAATACCTAAATTGGGGAGAGTTCCTGATTGGCTAACCCAGTATTTCTCCTTGTGTGGAAGTGTGGACTTCAACTCCCAGAATTCCCTAGTCAACAAGCTATTGAGCTTTATGATGTGGGGACTTCAGCTCCCAGAATTCCCTAGTCAACAAACTAGTGACTTCAGCTCCCAGAATTCCCTAGTCAACAAACTGCTGAGCTTTATGATGTAGGGACTTCAACTCCCAGAATTCCCTAGTCAACAAACTACTGAGCTTTATGATGTGGGGACTTCAGCTCCCAGAATTCCCTAGTCAACAAACTAGTGACTTCAGCTCCCAGAATTCCCTAGTCAACAAACTAGTGACTTCAGCTCCCAGAATTCCCTAGTCAACAAACTGCTGAGCTTTATGATATGGGGACTTCAACTCCCAGAATTCCCTAGTCAACAAACTACTGAGCTTTATGATGTGGGGACTTCAACTCCCAGAATTCCCTATCCAGAAAGCTACTGAACTTTTAAGACATGAGGACTTCAACTCCCAGCATGGCTGGCTGGGGAATTCTGGAACTTGAAGCCCACACAACAATGTTGCCACGTTGTTCTTAGGATCTCCAGGTTTGCATCGCTGAGGTCCAGTCTGAGAGACTCTTTTTGCTTATGATGAAAAATAATAACCCACCACACCACACAACTAAGATTAAATACATGCATATTTATGAGGGGGGGGAGAAAATAGCCCACACATTTGCACAATTATGCTAAGAGGGGAAAAAAGCCTCAAATTGCATCAGTGGAAATCATTGCGTGAATGTAGGCTAGAATTTATTAGAATTGCATAACATTTCATTTCGGCCCCTGGAATTTGTTAGATTGTTGGAAGTCTCTTAAAACGGACGACTTTTTTGGCCTGCTAATTGACTGGGTTTGTTTCATTTGTTTCCTTTGCTATGGTAATTGTTTTAGTCTCTGGGGTAGGCCTCTTGTCCTGCACTGGGCAGCAGCAACTGGGGTGGGTTTGGCCCCTAATCCATTTTTATAGCTTAATGACCTATGAATTGGCCCTAAATGGGGAGCTTGGTTTCTACGGCAACCATAATCATCTACTACTACAACATTACTAAACCCTCTCGCTGGCTCTCTTGCCGTCAAAATAGAACAAGATGACGGGCTGGTTCGTTCATTTAGGTCAGAGGCCTGGCAGAGTTTCCTCCCCAACTTCACTTAGAAAACCAAGAAGTTTCCTCCAAGCACAGCTGGAATTAGTTTGGAAGCTTTTCAAGAGGAGGAAAACATTCGGAGAAGCTTTTGTCAATGGATTTCCCTCCTTCCTTCCTTCCTCCTTCCTTCCTTCCTTTCCTCTCTCTTCCCTCCTCCCTTCCCCCTTCTTCCCTCTCTTACTTCCTCCCTCCCTCCTTCTTCCTCTCTTCCTCCCTGTCCTTCCTTTCTTCCCTCTCCTTCCTTTCTTCCCTCTCCTTCCTTCCTCCCTCCCTCCCTTCCCTCTCCTCCCTCTCCTCCCCTCCTTCTTTCTTCCCTCTTCCTCCCTCCCTCCCTCCCTGTCCTTCCTTTCTTCCCTCTCCTTTCTTCCTCCCTCCCTCCTTCCTTCTTTCCTCTCTTCCTCCCTGTCCTTCCTTTCTTCCCTGTCCTCCCTCCCTCCCTTCCCTCTCCTCCCTCCTTCCCTCCTTCTTTCTTCCCTCTCTTCCTCCCTCCCTCCCCGTCCTTCCTTTCTTCTTCCCTCCCTTCCTCCCTCCTTCCTTCCTCCCTCCCTCAATGTCTTCCTTCCTGCTCCTTCCTCCCTCCCTCCCTCTTCTCCCTCCCTCCTTCACTCCCTCTCCTCCCTTTCTTCCTTTTTTTAGTGCTAACTTCAAACAGTCTCTAAAGAAATGGTTGTAAGTTAAGGGCTACCCGCACTATATATTTTTGATTGCCTGGATGTGTTCATTGTGCAGCTCATTGGCCTTTGGCAACTAAAAAGTCCCTGCAGTTTTCTTGGCAAGATTTTTTTCCAAGCATTTTGCCCCTGAGTTCTTCCAAGGCTGAGAGACGAGAACCAGACCAAAATCACCCAACTGGCTTTGGGCCCATCTTAAAGCAGGAATAGAATTCCCTGGTTCCTTCCTTGGTGCCTTTTTACCCACCACAACCAACCGGTTCCCATCCCAATGATAAACATAGTCAGGGGGAAAAAGCAGAAAAACACATTAAACCAACCGTGTATATGGACGTACCAAATTCTTCGCCTTGCAAATGGTTTGGTGGAAGGCCACACCAAAGGGCATCACCCTTCCTGGAAGTTGCATGTTCTTCAGGCTCAGCCAGAAAGACCAAAAAAAAATTAAAAAAAAAAAACTATAAAGGAAAATCAATTTTCCCTAAATGTTTTTAATTATGGCTCCTGGAAGATTGGCCTGGAATGGAACCCTCCATAAAAAAAAATGACCAGCCGATCCTAGCTAGGTTCATCCCACGCCTTCAAAAATGGACAACAGGAAGACATTGTTGTTTAAAAAAAAAAACATCTGGCTGATCTCCTAGAAGTAATTTACTACTCAGCGTAGGTGATCTTGTTACTTGCAAGCCTGGGGCGAGGATCAGTCATTTTTCCTAGGGAAAAGCACTTAGCATCTGTCCTTCCTTCCTTATCTGAGCTATCAATTTTTTTTTCCCCTTCAAGTAAGCCAGGCTTCGTGATAATTTCTGCTTTGTGGGAAAAAAATTATTTTGTCATCCCCACCCAACAATATAATGGTGTGTGGGTGTATTTATTTTCTTAGAAGCTTTGGATCACTGGCTTTTCCCCTGCTATGCGACTGGATTTCATAACTTTGCTTTTCTTCCTTGGAAATTTCTTCCCTCCTGGGTTCTGAATCCCAAGAACTTCTAAAAGAAACCCAACCTTTACTAAAATCAAATTAAAATCAATAGAATAGAATAGAATAGAATAGAATGGAATGGAATGGACTAGAATAGAAAATAGAATAGAAAATAGAATAGAATAGAATAGAATAGAATAGAATAGAATAGAATAGAATAGAATAGAATAGAATAGAATTCTTTATTGGCCAAGTGTGATTAGACACACAAGGAATTTGTCTTGGTCCATATGCTCTCAGTGTACATAAAAGAAAAGGTACATTTGTCAAGAGTCAAGAATCATAAGGTACAACACTTAATAATAGTCATAGGGTACAAATAAGCAATCCAATCATACTAGGAAACAGTCAATATAAATTGTAAGGAGACAAGCGACAAAGTTACACTCATACAGTCACAAGTGGGAGGGGATGGGTGATAAGGAGTGATGAGAAGGTTAATAGTGAGAATAGTGGAGACTTTGTAAATTGTTGGACAGTGTTGAGGGAATTATTTGTTTAGCAGAATGATGGCATTCAGGAAAAAACTGTCCTTGTGTCTAGTTGTGCTGGTGTGCAGGGCTCTATAGCGTCGTTTTGAGGGAAGGAGTTGAAACAGTTTATGTCCGGGATGTGAGGGGTCTGTAGATATTTTCACAGCCCTCTTTTTGACTCGTGCAGTATACAGGTCCTCCATGGAAGGCAGGTTGGTAGCAATTGTTTTTTCTGCAGTCCTAATTACTCTCTGAAGTCCGTGTCTGTCTTGTTGGGCTGCAGGACCAAACCAGACAATTATAGAGGTGCAGAGGACAGGTTCAATCATTCCTCTGTAGAACTGGATTGGGCAGTTTTAGCTTTCTGAGTTGGCGCAGAAAGAACGTTCTTCATTGTGCTTTTTTGATGACGTTTTTGATGTTAGGTGTCCATTTTAGGTCATGTGATATAGTAGAACCTAGAAATGTGAAGGTCTCGACTGTTGATACTGTGTTGTCTAGTATTGTAAGAGGTATGGGAGGGTTTCTTCTAATGTCTACCACCATTTCTACGGTTTTGAGTGTGTTCACTTCCATATTGTTCCGGTTACATCACGAGGCAAGTTGTACAACCTCCTGTTTGTATGTTGTGGCTCAAAGAAACACAGCAACTGACAATCAAATTTGGGTAATCACAATACGGGTAGTCCTCGAGTTAGGACCACAATCAAGCCCAAAATTTTATGGGGCTAATTGAAACATTTGTTCGGTGAGTTTTCGCCCCATTTTATGACGTTTCTTGCCAACGTTGTTTAGTGAATCACTGCATTTGTTAAGTTAGTCACCCAGTTAAGTGAAACCGGCTTCCCCAATTGACTTGGCTTGTCAGAAAGTCGCAAAAGGGAATCGCATGAGTGACCCCAGGGACACTGCGACCGTCATAAATCTGAGACACTTGTCAAACACCCAAATGTAAATCCCGTGACCATGCGGGATGCCGCAATGGTCATAAGTGTGAAAAACAGTCATAAGTCACTTTTTTCTGTGCCGTTGTAACTTTGAACGGTTACTAAATGAACCATTGTAAGTTTATTTAATTTGTTTATTGAATTTACATTGCCGCCTATTCGCCCATGGCGACTCAACGCGGCCTACAGAAATAAAACCACATTTGAAACAATAAAACTAATAAAAAGAATCATATCTATATATACAAAAGCGAAAGATCACTCACGTGTCATCAGAAAATCTCCAGAACCATAAAGCCTACAAACTTGAAATTTGGCACATATGTTCCTCTTGGCTTCTAGGTGCTCACTAAGAAAAGATTTTTCGAAATGACCATCAGAGCATTAGTATTTCCTATATTATTATTATTAACATGCTCTTATGCTAAGGAGTTCTACCCCCCTCCCCACCTGAAAAGAAATCTCTTCCAAATGCAAAACACAAGCAGAGGAGTTTCAGTTTCAGTTTCAGAGCACCAAGCAGCTTTAGTACAGAACAGTTGAGCTAAGCCACGCCCAGGCTCTTTGCTGTCTCCTTCTTGCTCACACAGCAAATGCTGTTTCAGTTTCCATGTTTCAGTTTCCAAACAGCCCTCAACTCTCATATACTGACAGGATGCTAGCCAGATGAATACCGATGGATGCTGGTAGGCAGAGGCAGAATTCCCCCCCCCCCCTTATTTTCCTCCCAAAAAACTGGCCGATCAGATAGTTTCATAGCGAAGCACGGGTATCCAGCTAGTTCAG